TCCATTTTCTATTCATTTTTCTTAAATATACTTCTTTTGATTAAATGATAGGTGCAGTAGTTATCCCATGAAATTAATTTTAAAAAAATTAAGCAAATCTTATGTTATCTAAAGGATACCCAAAAAAAACCACACCAATCACGTTGGGTCCCAGATTTTTTAAATAAAGATACTTCCCTAACCCAATCACAGCCGCCAAAATCCATATCTAACCCGCAAAGACGGGATCATCTTCCTCGCGCCCTCCCCTCGGACGTGTTACTACTTAAACTGCATTTTAAATCCGCATTTCAAGTCCGCCCTTTGAAAAATCGAAAACACACATACCCTTCCATAGTGGTTGTGCTTCTCTGCTTCTAGACTCTTGGATTTGATTTCCAGACTCTAGATCGACCATCGACCTGGCAGATTCTGGTGAGTCCTTCAAGTTTTCTGATTTCTCAACTCTCTCTTTTTTTTGTTCTTCTTTGTTAATTCTCAGTTTCGCATGTTTTGCTTTTGATTTTGCAGTGATTCGTGTAGTTTCTGAAGTCACAATGGAGTCTTCATCGTCGTCGGGGTGCGGAGGAAATACAGGGTTTGAAATTGAAATCCATGGGTTTAAGGATGAATTTGAAATACACGGATTTTAAGCCTTTCAAATATCTGGGTAAATTACATGTATTTTACTTAAATTCAATTACATTTTATTTAGGGAAAAATAACAGTGATATTGAATTTAAAGTGTTGAAATTCAATTACATCGTATGAAATTCAAGTTCCCAAACAGAGCATTATTGAATTTTGTCTTTATAGCATATTTATAGTCTGCTGCATTTTAATATTTACAATGATTGTTGTATTTAAAAGCCTACTCTTTAGGTTATAACTCTTTTAAGAAAAGTTGTTTTTAAAAGTCCAAAGTTTAAATTATGACAATTTTATTTTCTATCCTCTAATTGTACTAGTGGTTCAAATGAAAAAAAGGAAAAAAGAAAAAAGGAAAAAGCCTACTCTTTAGGTTTTCTTGTTTGGGAATTGTGGAAAATTAATATATGGTGACAATTAAAATATTTAAAATGATGATAAAAAGAGTTAAATGTTTTCAATGAATTAATATAATAAAAAATATTTACTCTATATTAGAGGTATTTGAATAATTTGATAGACAATTTAATATTTTAAATTTTAGAAAGTTTTGATTTTTATTTTCTTTTTAAATTTACCTATCTTCATTGTTAGATTTTTAAAATTAAAATATTGGGGCTTTTATGGAAAAAAATAAAAATAATTACAATTCAATCTAAATTGTAAAATACTAATTATTGAATTAACAATGCATTTTGATAATGGAAAAGGGTTGCTTTATTCAATAACAAGTATTTTCCAATTTGATAACTTAAAAAAAAAAAAGAAGGAAAAAAGAAAAAAGAAAAAGAGGAGAATGTTATAGCATGTGGCTTTTATAATTTATTTTTAAGAGAAATGTGAAAATGAAGTGTTCTTCACTACATAAAATATGTATACATAGGTTCTGTTTGGTATAATTATTAAAATTCAACGAATAGTAAATAACAAGTAATAAATAACAAATAGTGATAGTAGGTAGTAGACGGGATTAACGATAACGAGTGACGGATAGTGAAAAGTGGATATTAGATTGTTTTAGCGGGTTTGATTAATATAATTATTTGTTAATACAATAATTAATTATTGTTATTTAAAATTAAATAATTGATAAAAATATATTTAAAAATAATTATGTGTATTTTTCTTTTTATATTTTTTATTATTAAAATTATTAATTTTATGAAAAAAAATAAATTATAAACTAATTTTATAAAAAATAAAGTTAAAACTAATTAGATAAGTATTAATTAAAAACCGTTGTTAAAAATTAAAAAAATTAAAAAAGAATAAATTTGTCAATAAAATAAAAAATTCTAATCCACTAATGGTTTGATACAAAAAGTTACATTATGTAATTTTTTAATTCACTAGCGGTTTGAACCTTAAATGTTATCTGTTAGTCTCAAACCACTAAATAAAAAGTTTTATTAAACATCTAATTTGTAGCGATTTGAAATAAAGTTGTCAATACCGTACTGATATATGTATTGATTTTGCTACTGGAATGGTACGTACCGGATATCAAAATTTTTTGTGTATCATTTCGGATTTATCGCTATAAATATATATTTTTATAAATT